GGAAGTCACCAGCCCCAAAAGAAAAAAAAAAAAAAAAAAAAAAACAAAAAAAAACTCTCAAAAAAAAAAAAAACCCACAAAGAACAAATTCAAAGGGAAACTTACTTGACGCTGAAATCCAAATGCCTGGGAAAATCTATTTTGCCAGCAAGAATTTTCTGATAAATGCCAAATGGATTGTCATCAAAAAACGGAGGAAATCTGTTAAAAAAAAAAAAATGAACATCCATTTTTAGTGCAAAGAAAGCATGGGGGAAAATTCCTACTTTGTAACTATAGGTACGTCTGCTTCACATGCACAGAAAATCAGACTTTATTTCAAAGACACACTGCCCTTGCACCCCGAAGCGATCCACGTAGAAACACACGTGACAAGGCAGAGGGTGTCAGGGTAGGGTGTTGCACGCCTGAAAATCGCACAGAGGGGAGGTCTCTTGGGGAGGAGGGAGAACCATCTGGGAGGTGTCTGCAGGATGAATGTCTTTCTTTTTAAAATTTATTATTTTCTTTTCTTTTTTAGAGTATTTTTTTGCTGTAGGGTGTGTGTGCTTGCTGGAGAGACAGAGACAGAAAGTGAGAAATCACCCCCCAGAAGGGAAGGTCATACTGCAATCCCTTCTCCATTCTCCTGTCGGGATCTTGGGCACGCACGCACACGCGCCCGGGCGGGAGTTTTAAGCCACCGGGTCCGGGATGCGAACCGCGGTCGACTATGTGGGAGTCCAGCGACACAGCCATGACGCCACCTGCTGGTGTCAGGGTTGCCTCTGTGTGTAGATTACATTCCCGTTCCTCAGTCTCACAGTGTGGTGTGTTGCGGAGATTTCTGACAGCCGTGTCTCTTCAGCGTCCCTGGTCTGGGAGCTCCTGCTGACCCTGCCCCGACGTGGCAGTGGGCCGGGCTGGGAGATGGAGCCGGCGTGCAGACATCCCCACGGCCCCCAGGAGGAGCCCCTGCAGCGACGCCCGCCCAGCCAGCCCGGCCTCCCGTCGCCAGGCCTGGGTGGCGCCCCGTCGGAATGCAGTCAGCTCTGAGATGATGTCAGGAAAAGCCATCGTCGGGAATGGGACATGAACTCTGGGAGAAGGCGGGCCCCACCTCCCAAAAACAACACTCCCGAAACCACGCGCTTCTGGGAAGCAGACATTCCACGGCAGTGTCATGGCAAAGGTATTTTGGCCGCAGTTCATAAAAAAAAAGTATTGGATCTTGACGTTAGGAAAAACACACAAAGCGTCGCTCTCTAGCCAGCGCTGCCCAGGACTCTGAAAGGTACCCTTTTTGAATCACTCAGATTTCTGGTCCTGGGACCAGCAGTTAGCGTAATGGCTGTGTCGCTGGACTCCCACGTAGTCGACCACAGTTCGAGTCCCGGACCTGCTGGCTTAAACTCACGCCGAGTGCGTGTGCGTGCGTGCCCAAGATCCCGAGAGGAGAATGGAGGAGAAGGGCTTGCGGCGTGACCATCCCCGCGGGGGGTGATTTCTCGCTTTCTGTCTCTCTGTCGCTCTCTCGCTCTGTCGGGCGAGTGCACGCGCCCCATAGCAAAAACCTCTCCAAAAAAGATTTCTGACCCCACACGCATACACTTGAATAAGGAGTCCCCAGTGAAATGCACTGTTCAGAGCAGGGTGCTTTCGGTGGGGAGATTTGATATCCACGATTAATTACTCAAATAAGAGACCAATCGTAGGGGTCAGCAGGTGACGTGCTGGTTAAGGCGCTGGACTCCCACAAGGCCGACTGCAGTTCGAGTCCCAGACCCGGACCCGGAGACTTGGTTTCTCAGTCTGCCCCTGACCCCGTCTCACTCTGGTGAGCACAGGTGCCCTAGAGAAAATGAGTCATCATCGTCCTAGATTAAATGAAAATTTATTAAAATAAAAGATAAAGAGACCAGTAACACACTACATCTAATTATATTATTTCTTACTCTAATGTGTTTTAATATTCTAATATATCATAGCAATTGCTTTCATTTTATATACTGTTGTTCATAGGCTCTAACAGTATATTTTAATGCTGTTCTCTTCTGATATATTGTAATATTCCACTACACCCTAATTCTCATCCTACTCCCAATTCTAATACACCTTAGTTTTATTTTATCGTCTACCCATTATATTCTCGTATAATTCAGTATTCTAATAATAATTATACCGATTTTATATAATCAGGGAGCCTGCAGGAGGTGGGGTGGTTAAAGGTACTGGATTCCCACATGGCTGACTACGGTTCAAATCCCGGGCCTGGCAGCTTGCTTTCTCGCTTTTCCTTTCTCTCTGTCTCTCTCTGGTCAAAATAAAAAAATAATAACAAGAAATGGAATTAAATAAATAATTCCTTTTAAAAAAAAATAATAATTTTACATAATCAGCATCTATTCTAGTATCCTATATTGATGGTATTCTACTCTAAAACACTCTACTAAGGGGACCAGCGGTTAGCGTAATGGCTATGTTGCTGGACTCGCACGTAGTCGACCACAGTTCGAGTCCCGGACCTGGTGGCTTAAACTCATGCCGGGCGTATGTACAAGCGTGCCCAAGATCCCGAGAGGACAATGGAGGAGAAGGGATTGCGGCGTGGCCATTCCCCCTGGGGGCTGATTTCTCGCTTTCTGTCTCTCTGTCTCTCTCTGTGTGTCTGGTGAGTGCACGTGTCCCATAGCAAAAACCTCTCCAAAAAAAAAATAAGAAAAACAAAACAAAACACTCTACTAAGGAAATAACCCCCCCATTATTCTGATGCTAATTTTATGTAATTGCAATATTATATCACGGTTCTAATATAAATTAGTGTTTGCGTCTATTGTGGTCATTCCAAATTTTATTCTAACCTAATATGCTCCAGTAGCGTATTATTTTCTAGAAATAGCTGCTACTCATTTCTCTTTTTTCTTTTCTTTCTTTTTTTTTTTTAAGAGGTTTTTGGTATAGGGCACGTGCACTCATCGGACAGAGAGACAGAAAGCGAGAAATCACCCCCTGGGGGGGGATGGTCACGCCGCAATCCCTTCTCCTCCATTCTCCTCTTGGGATCTTGGGCACGCACGCACACGCGCCCGGTGTGAGTTTTAAGCCACCAGGTAGGTCCAGGACTCGAACCACGTGTAGGCCACATGGGAGTTCAGCGACATCTTTTTTGTAAAATTTTGATCTGGGATATGCTCACTGGAGAGAGAAAGAGAGGGAAAGTGAGAAATCACCCCCTCAGCGGGGACGGCCACGTTTCAATCCCTCCTCCTCCACTCTCCTCTCGGGATTTTGGGCACGCACACCAACACCCTCGAATCTCTGGGTCCAGGACTCGAACCGCCGTGAACTACGTGGGAGTCCAGCACCTCAACCCTCTCCCCATCTGCTGGCCCACAGGTGACAGTATTGCACCCGGATAATGGGGACAGACCTCAGGGCTGTGAACCTTAGTTATTCAGAAGGGCCGGGTTCTGGTATCTCTGTCCTTGGGCAATGCTGCCCCCTTGTGCTCACTGACTTTATGGGAGGAGACCGTGGACAATGCTCGACCCCTGCTTGGCTTGAGACCGCCTGGCTGGGGAGCATCTGGAGAAATCTGTCGTCATATGACGTGCGAGACACGTCCACGGGAAAGGTGAGGGGACATGCAGAAGGCCAGGCAGACGGATGACAGGCAGGGGTGTTGGGAGGTCGGGTACACCTCAGAGATAGATGGATGAAAGAGATATGTATACACTTCAGAGATAGATGGATGATAGAGACATACGTACACACTTCAGAGATAGATGGATAGAGACATACGTATACACTTCGGAGATGGATGATAGAGATACGTATGCACTTCAGAGATGGATGACGACAGAGATACATAGACACTTCAGAGATAGGTGGATGATAGAGATACATATCCACCTCAGAGATAGATGGATGATAGATAGACAGAGATACCCCTAAGATTGATAGGTGGATGATAGAGATACACATACACCTCAGAGATGGATGGATGATAGACAGAGATACATAGACACTTCAGAGATAGGTGGATGATAGAGATACGTATCCACCTCAGAGATAGATGGATGATAGACAGAGATACCCATATACTTCAGAGACAGATGGATGATAGACAGAGATACCCATATACTTCAGAGACAGATGGATGATAGAGATACATAGACACTTCAGAGATAGATGGATGATAGAGATACATATACACCTCAGAGATAGATGATAGAGATGCATAGACACCTCAGAAATAGATGGATGATAGACAGAGATACGCATATACCTCAGAGATAGATGATACATAGAGACACTCTTTAAAGACAGTAGAGACACAGGTGCACTTAGTGACTGACGGATTACAGGCAGATAGACGTGTATACGGGAGCAGTAGACCCGGTCGGCAGGATCTGGATGGGCTGATGAACAGGTGCGTACAGTCAGCCAGTCAGACACACAGAGGCTCACAGAACATAGAAAGCACATCCCCATACGCACGCCCACATGGTCCGACCACACGTCTGCCTTCCTTTGGAACTAGTGGGTGGCAGAGGAGTTACAGTGCTGGACTCCCACGTGGCCGACTACGGTTTGAGTCCCAGACGGCAGCTTGAAACTCACGCTGGGCGCGTGTGCGTGCGTGCCCAAAAATCCCAAGAGGGGGAGAATGGAGGAGAAGGGATTGTGGCATGGCCATCCCCCCCTAGGAGGGGTGATTTCTCACTGTCTCTCCACCTCTCTCTCTCTCTGTCTCTGGCGAGTGCACATGCCCGACAGTAAAAATAAAAGGTTGCATTACTTTTCTCTCGTCCGCCCACAAGCAGACCTCGGCGGTGGAGGCTGTGTGAGCCGGCGGGTGAGGGGTGCCCGGGCTGGAGCCTGCCGAGGCCGTACTCACCCTGAGAGCATCTCGAAGATGAGGATGCCGAGAGCCCACCAGTCCACCGCCCTGCCGTGGCCCTTGCTCTGGATGACTTCGGGGGCGAGGTACTCAGGCGTTCCGCACAGCGTCCACGTCCTGCAGGGGTGACAGACAGGCCTCAACAGCTTAGGCACAGCCTCTCCCCCCGGCCCCGGGCTTAACCAACGCTTAAATGCACAAAGATTATACTCTGCTTCTTCTGTAGATTTGTTATGGAGCACCGGGCCAGCAGGTGGCATGGTGGCTAAGGCACTGCGCTGGACTCCCACGTGGCCGATGGAGGTTCGAGTCCCACTCCTGGTGGCTTCAAAGATCACACTGGGCACGTGTGTGTGCATGCCCCAAATCCAGAGCAGAATGGAGGAGAAGGGATGGCACTATGGCCATCCCCTCCGGGGGTGATTTCCCACTTCCTCCCTCTCTGTCTCCCTCTGGTGAAGGCAGGCACCCTCAGATAAAAACGTAAAAATAAAATAATAAACATATAAAAATGATTATGGCGTGTGTGTACTCCACCAGAGAGAAAGAGAGAGGGAAAGTGAAAACTCACCCCCCAGGGGGGATGGCCACACCGCCATCCCTTCTCCTCCATTCTCCTCTCAGGATTTTGGGCACGCACGCACACCAGGCGTGCTTGCCCAGCCACTGGGTGTGGGACTTGAACCACACAGTTGGCCGTGTAGGATCCAGCCACTTCAACTGTCACGCCACCTGCTGGTCCCCAATAAACTTGTATTTTAATTCCATCTTTCCACAAACGTTTTGAAGTCCTCTGTTAGCATTGCTATGAGACTTATTATTACTAAGAAGCCAAGAAAAAAAGACACTATTTCATAGAAAATGGCACTTTTAACCTATCCAAGATAGGGCTGGCAGGTGGCGTGGTGGTTAAGGGCGCTGGACTCCCACATGGCCAAGCATGGTTTGAGTCCCAGACCTGGCAGCTTGCTTTCTCACTCTCTCTGTCTCTCTCGGGTCAAATTTAAAATCATAATAAATAATTCATAGTAATAATAATCATGAACATTAAATACATTTTTTTAAAGTAAAACATAAAATTCCATCACTGTCTTCTGGATCTTTTGCATTAGAGACATCGGGATGTTTTAGGTTTACGCAGAATGAAGCACTTGGCCAAGGATTTTCTCCGAGTGCCGTGTGCTGTAAAGATAGAGACTGAATGGAAAAGTAAGCGAAAACCTGAGCTTCTACTGCCATCTGGTGGACAGCGGGCTGGAAGGATTCTTTGTTCTATATCTTTTTTTTTTTAAGTTTTGTAAGCTGAGTTGTATGAATGAGAGAAAAGCAAGCCTAAGAGCGTCCCGACTCGGCAAAACAGCCATCTGCCCTCACCCTGGCCCGCCTCAGAGCACACAGGGCTGTCTACACTCCTGGCCTACACAGCGGACTCGCCAGGAAAGAGCCAGAAGAGGCCCAGGAGGGTCGACCTCACAGAGCGTCACGTGGACTGCCCTGCCACCATCCAGCCCCTGCAAGGAGCGACCCTGAGCGGCCGAGCCGGACCCAGGAAAATAAGAGGCCCGGGCTGGTGGCCTCGAGAACAGCTTTGCCTACATGGAACTTTCTGGGACATTTGCTTATTATCGTTCTATTCCGTCATCCCCACCCCACCGTGCTTAAGATCAGTCATTTTTTAAAAAGAATTATTTAGTTAGGGGACCAGCAGGTGACACGGTGGTTAAGGTGCTGGACACTCCCACATGGCCGACCATGGTTTGAGTCCTGGACCTGGTGGCTTGCTTTCTCACTTTCCCTCGCTGGTCACATTCAAGTAAAAATGAATGAATAGATAAAATTAAATAAATCTTTAAAAAAATACTTATTTAATTTTATCCATTCATTATTTTAATTTGACCCAAGAGAAACAGAGAGAAGAGAGAGACAGAGAGACAGAAAGCGAGAAATCACCCCCCAGGGGGGATGACCACACTGCAATCCCTTCTCCTCCGTTCTCCTCTCGGGATCTCGGGCACGCATGCACACACGCCCGGCGTGAGTTGAAGCCACCGGGTCTGGGACGCAAACCGCGGTCGACTACATGGGAGTCCAGCGACATAGCCATGACGCTAACTGCTGGTCCCTGGGATCTTGGGCTTGTACGCACACATGCCTGGTGTGAGTTTCAAGTCGCTGGTTTCCGGGACTCGAACCGCCATTGAGTCATGTGGGAGTCCAGCACCTGCCTTTAACCACTGTGCCACCTGCTAAGTCCTTGCCTATGTCATCTGTTTTTTAAAAACAATTATTTATTTAATTCTATTTGTTATTATTATTTTTCTACTTCACCAGACAGATATAAAGAGAGAGAAAAGGAAAGTGAGAAACCAAGCTGCCAGGTCTGGGACTCGAACCGTGGTTGGCCATGTGGGAGTCCAGCGCCTGTAACCACCACGCCAGGGCATTTTGCATTGACGTAACTACTCCTCAGTAAGGCAACCCAAGGCTAGCTTAGACTTTGTTCCTTATTTCCATATAGTGGCAATGCCCTCATTGGACTTACCCCGTGAAGACAGAGAGTCAGAATAAAGAATAACTTCTCGGGGCCGGCAGGGGGCCTGATGGTTCAGGGCGCTGGACTCCCACATGGCCGACCACGGTTCGAGT